TAGTAAAATTGGTGATGACAGTATAAGATGTGAACAGGCTTAGAAGGATCCTGAAAGGGGCAGCAGAATCTTGCTTTGAAGAGAAAGAGAGAAGGGACAATGAGGAAAACAGGAACCAACAGCTGTATCAGTACATCTGTGCTGGTTGGATAAGAGTTCAATATTCTTTTCTCAACAAAAAAACCAAAACAAAACAAAACAAAAAAACAAATCTGCACTAATCAAGATATAACACTGAGAAATTAAAAAGAGAATTGAAAAATATGGGAAATGGGGTTGGAGTCACTCAGGCAAACAAAAAACAAAATGGAGAAAAAATTTTGACTGACAAGAAGGGAAAAAAGCAAAAGGAAACATCACGTCTGTTGATCATTTCTGAAAACAATTCAGTGAAATCTGAACATAGAGAAGGGGAGGAGAAAGAAAGAGCTGGAGCAAAAAGTTAAAAGTTAAAATGAAGTAGTAAAAAAAGGAAGTGGACAAATGGGAAGAAAAGAATGCAAGAACTTAACGGTAGAATGGAAAGCCAGCCTGTTTGTGAGACTGCTACTAGAAACATAACATAGAATCAGGGTCAATCAGGAGAAACCACATAATCTCAGAAAGGGAAAAAACCTCAAAAATAAAGCATGGGGAGAAGAAGGGAAGGCAGTAAACAAATCAGAAGTCATAAGAACCGGCACACTGGATTGAATTAAAAGGCCCATACCATCCAAGGTCTTCAACGATGACCTCTGCTTCACCCAAGGGTTTTATTGTTCCTTTCTGAGTTGGGATGACAAAACTCTGTATGCTATTTACAAAGATGGATGTACATTGCAGCATATCTCACTATTTCATTCTCCCTTCTTTTCCTAACAACTTGTAACATTCTACTCTGCTGTTTCCCTGCCACTGAACATTAACCTAACATTTTTAAAGAAGTCTGCACGATGATTCAAGTCTTGTTTCCCCACTGTTATGTTCACTTTCATGTAGGTACCAGTTAGGAGTATTACATTCAGCACTGATTTTACTTGCATTTTATTAGCTTCTCCATTACTTGAGTGACTGGACCAGTAACAGGTTGTGGAGACAGTCAAAACTCAGAAATAGTAAGTAATCCTCAAGAAAGAATAAATTAGGTGAGAAAAACCTAAGAGGGAGGATCATGCTTAACGAACAGAAGTAATCTTGGCAGGAAAAGCTGAGCATGGGCTTTGGGTCAACTGGAGATAAAAGGGTAAGCTTTCAGCTGGAAGGGACTTGTGAGTCTTATGTAACCTGGAGTGATCAAGAATTGACACAGGAGTATGATGAGAAGAATGGGAGAGGTTCAAAACTGGAGCAGTACAAATGACAATGTAAAGTGTAGAATATAGTATGATAAGAACGAGGTGCAACAGAGTAGAAAAGGTAAGTGATGTGAAAGCACACGGACTGGAACAGAGAAACACAACCGCCTTTCCACTATGGTCTGATCCTTGGTGGGAAGCATGAAGAAAGAATAATTTTAGAGAGAGAATAGTGAGACAACTCCTACGTCTTCTTAAATCCATGACTGGAATAGGAAGAAATAAACACAGTTTTCAGGACTTTAAAAGATGGGTTACCCACAGAACAGTTACATCACAGTCAAGATCATGCTTAACACCTCTAGAAGAGCCCATAATAACATTACTAGCAGCTGGGTATGCAACAGTACATTTTTGGAAAAAGCAAAGATTCCTCATTTTTAAGACAAAGAAGAATTATAGGAAATCTTCCAAAATCTTCCAAGAAGGAAAAACAACAGACAGCTTTATTTCAGTATCATATAGATGTAACAAAAAAAAAAAAAAAAATATTCTGACTTTAGAGTCTGTCAAAGACAGTAAACAGAGGTTTTAGTAAGATCTATATTAAAAATCCATGTATGGCAATATGAGAAGCTTTACAAACACTGACTCTGATACTCACCCTGAAGTTGTCAGGAGAGCTTAGATATAGTCTT